ATCGTACGATAATCGTGCAGTGTATGGGCACCTTAAGTGAAGCAGAGCTTGTTAAGAGCCTGATACTCATACTGTTCTGGACCATTGACTCAAAACAGTACTGAAGCCTTTGGATCAGCCTAACAGCCAAGACAGTAGCATTGTCAGGTTTAAAGTAGAGCAATGGCAGCCTATGTATATTCAAGAACAAGAAGGTGATGGGGAAACACCTTCCAGCCACCACAAGAAATGGAGGAAAAAAAAAAAATCAGTTTTAGCTGCAGCTGTCCTTTTATCAAAATTGGTTATTGTTATGAAATGAATTCATTCTGGAAAGAGGAAAGATACAAATAATGTGCAATGAGCTTCCAATATTTCCTGTCTGGTGGGTTGCAGATACCCGGATATCAGTGTTTTGCACAGACACTGATTCATACCGCGACTTTACTCGGGTGTCACACTTGATAACTGAAAGCAGCTTAGCGCCACAAGTCACTTATAAACAGGCGTTGCCGACATAGAAAAGCCTTCATGTGGTTTGTCGTCAAGACATTAGAAAAGCTCGCTGGCAACACCCAACCGTTCCAGTAATAAGTCATAGATGTTACTGTGACCCCATTGCCAAATTTAAAGCAGAGCTCAAGTTTTTTTTTTTTTTTGCACTTTGAAATTGCACATTAAAAATAAAATATGCATGAAGCACACCAGCAAAATGGGCTCATGTAAAAAGCAGCAATACGGCTGTAAAACATTTTTTATCAAAGAAATTGTGACAGTTTTAGCCTCTTTGATCAATTTTTTTGTGTGCAAATCTGTGTAGCCGCTCCTTTTAACATGTGCGCCTGTTTTGACCAGAGCTTGCGCTATTTTCCCCAATAGCGCATGTTTTGCGAAAGTTTGCAACTGTTCACATCTGCACTTGTCCTGCGGCTGTCTGAAACTGGAGCATCACCTAACAAAACAATCACTACTTAAAAAAGGAGAGCTATGGGGTCAGTTTTTTCCCCCATAGTTCTCCTTAGGGTAACGGGAGGACACAAACTAGCGTCCTCCCGTTACCCTAAGCTGTAGCTCGCGGTATACTGAGACGCCGGAGCGGATCCCGACGTAGATGACGGGATCCGCCCAGCTGCGTGAGTGACAGCTGGCTCTGCCTATCTAGAGGCAGAGCCAGCTGTACCCGCCCCCTCCCCTGTCCATTCCGCCAGTCAGCGCTGGCAGATCGGAGCGGGGAGAGGGGAATCCAGCCCCTCCCCCTGTCACGGCAGAGAGCTGTGACAGGATCGGAAGGTGAGCGAACCTGGTATGTGTTCGCTCACCTCCCGATCTACTGAGCCGACCTGTGACAGTCTCATTGTCACAGGTCGGCTGGAACTATGAGGTGAGTGGAAATCACTAATCTCATAGTTCTCCTTTAAGAAGTCCCCATGACCACTTCAAGAGGCGACAGTTAAGGTGCCCATACACTGCACGATTCTCGTACGATCCGCGATCGTACGAGAATCGTGCAGTGTGAATGAAGACGAGCGACCGTTTCTACTGTACGGTCGCACGTCTTTTGTCTAAGGAGCATGCTAGAAAACCAGCCGAGAATCTTCCGATTTTCGGCTGGTTTGAATGATGCTCGGGAGACAAATGCCGAACGGGCCGGTGTGTGCACGCGCACACTGCCCGTTTAGCATTGCGGTCATCAGAAGCCTGCCCCTCAGGGGGCGGGCTTGCGATGATCGCAAGTACGATCTGCCTGTCCAAGATGAGCAGATCGTAGTTTTTAAAATTACTTTACAACCATCGCAAGACTAAGGTCTTGCGATGGTTGTAAAGTGTATGGGCACCTTTAGGCTTTGTGCCTGGAGTTACGAGTCTTCTTTCCTGGAGTCTAATGAATCTCATTCACGAACAACATTACACTTGCAACATAAATCTGGCACAAATATATCCCATGCAACCATATGCAGGTTCAAACATACGCAGCAATATCCACTCGATGCTATAGATGAGCCCCTATGTGTCTTTTGGATCGAGGACTCCTTATAACCTGCCGGCTGCACAGCCCAGAGCTCACCCGCTTTCCACACCTCACGATTTATAGTTATTACATACCTATATTTGCATTAGACCCCGTTCACACAGGGGCGGTTTGGCCACGCGGATTCGCGGACATGAACGATCCCATACATTGCTATGGGGACCGTTCATGCGAGTCCGTGCGATCCGAACCGCTCCCTGCACTATTTTTGCCGCGCTGATCAGTGCTGTTTCCATACAGGTTTCAATGAAGCGCGTTTTGGGGAGTTTTTTTAATTGCGTTTCAGCGCTGAAGCGCAATTAAAAACTCCCAAAACCTCCCTTGCATGAATGGGCTCTAAGGGGTCAGAATACATTACTGCATTGAACAATGTGGACTCTCCCAGTCCTGTCCTGAGTTTTCCTCATTTAATAGACAGCTGCATTTAGTAAAACAAGTGGCTGATTAAAGAAGAGAAGAGAGAGGAAGGATTAGGGCGGGGGTAGAGCTGCCCTATTACATGCCTGGATCCTGGCAATGAATGAAAATAGATTACATAACATGCTGACTGAACAACCCAGAGAGTTATGGCTCCAGGCACTCTGCAGGTGGCCTGTATACAATGCGATATAAATAACCCACCAGGATAGCAGTCTCCTACCTTGTGTTCCTTGCTGTGTTCTCTGAAGAGCCAGCGTCCTGCGAGGGTTCATTTTACACCCGTCTTTCCCCATCAGGTGGGTTTTCCAGGCCTGCAAGCACACAGAACAATATCACTGGTGTGCACAATGGAGCGCAAAAGGGGGGACGTTCATATTAACTGACAAAGGAATCATATTTTCAGTAGACAAATGGCTTCACTTATAAAAGATGGTGCCAAGGAAAGAAGGTTGCTTTCTATAACATTGTTGAGTGCGTTTGTCGATTGTTTTGCTTTATCAACAAGTAAGCAAACGCTGTGTGCAGCCATGTGAATGTAGTAGACAAACTGGGGAGGAGGGAACCATATTTGTAGGCTCTATAGCAGACCTGCCATACGTAAAATAAGTTAGCTAACATCGCCATTGTGCTAAACTGCATTAATTTTCCCAATAAAGAGAACTTGTCACGACTAGGGTAATGCAATAATCTGAATATTCAGCCCCCCCAAGGGTACAAGCTTACTAAGGACAGATTTATATATGCTCCTTTTTGGGTTTTCTTATTTTGCCCAAGGATGACATGGCAGCTTAAAGTTAGAACTGAAAGGTGCTGCGAGGTCCAACATTGGCTGACGGGGGCCAGGGGGTAAAAGCGCCCCCCTTCTTTTCATTGCTGTGAGGTCTGACATTGGCTGGTGAAATCAAATAAGAAAAGAGAAGGAGCGCCACAACCTAGCGCAATAAGGCGGATTGGGATTGGAGTAAATTTGTTTGCACTTACATGAGAAGAGAATGAGGTTGGCTCAGTGATGTAGATCTCCGTGAGTAGGTGTGGGGTCTGAAAGGTACGGTTATTGGGCATCCAATGGGCAGAGGAGCTGTGTTAGTCCTCGAAGGGAAAGCCGTTTGATGACCAAAGTGGGGATGATCATGATAACGAAATGGTGAAACTTCGTGAATGACTATTTAATGAAAATGTAAGTGCAAAGACCGCTTTTTTCAAAATTTACTCCAATCCCAATCCGCGTTTTTGCACTAGGTTATGACCCTGCTTCCCTTTTCTTATACGAGTTTCTCAGCACACATATTAGACACCTCGGTCTAATACCAGCAGGAGCCGCACACCAGCCCTCAACACACAAGCCTCACCAGGAGTGCAATATTCACATCGGACTCTCCCTTTATGGAACTTTCTACTGGTGAAATCAAATGCCTGACCTCCTTCAGATAACTCACCCCATAACGGTATCACATAAGTTCTAATAATAATGGTGGTGTTATGCCGGGAGATGCAGTTGACAGGGCAGCAACATTTAGACCTCAATAGCCTCTCAGGGCTTTGATAGGGCTCTGAGCAAGTTTTGTGCAACTTACCTCCCTGTGAACTACATCTCTCAATATGTAATGCTCCCTGCTGGCTGCATTGGCTATGGTGGGATGAGAGAATGAACCATTTCCTTTTAAAATCAAGGGTGGCAGTTATTACACAGACATACCCTGATGGAAGTAGTTGAGAATACCTGGCCTGAAGAATGATATTTTCAGGATTAGATGTGGCCAAAACACTAAGTTACTCCTGCCCCGGGGAATTTATAAAGTGAGGTAGCTTGGTGTTCTCACATTGTGTCCCCCAAGCAGGTAAGCCTGTTTCTCCTCTATGTATTGGTAAATTATAATTAAATATTGGACGGCTGCTTTAATGAAATGCTGGCATTCAGAGCTGGGCGAGCCTGGTTGGGAGTAGTGCTCTTATACTGTTATAAGTACAAACACAGGGAAAATAACTGGGTGGAGGAAGATGATACAATAGACTCATCTAAACACTATTAGCACATAGACACGCCAAGCCCTCTGCTAATAAAAGAGGGACCGCAGCAGGTGGTATGCTAATCTCCCATTTTAACATTCTGCACATGGATGACAGTATTTGGTCAGCTATTAGTTCAGCAGAGAAATTACAATTTCTGTATAAACGATTAGTAGTATGCAGTTTAACGGGGGACTTGTGTATATTTGGGTTATATTCGGGTTGTAAAGGTTGTATATATGGGTTAAAAACAGACCATTGCTCAGATTTCTAGGTGTTATGTATCATGCACTAAACTGAAGCATGCTTCTGTAAGTACAACTCAACAAAACCTGTCAAGATCCATTGCCGATGTCTTGCAAGCTTTGCGGATGTCATCTATCTGACCTGGAATAGCACGAAGGACAGAGGTTTCAACTCCATAGGCGGCATGCTTGAGCAGGGTCAGGGACGTACACCTTCAAAAACAATGCCGCAGTGGCAGCTACTACACGTCTCTTCCGGTAATTTTCCTTTAGGTTCTGCTTTATATGGAATAGCTTTTTGGTTCCTTTAACTCACAGTTGAGTACTGTCCATGATACTTTTTTTTTTATTTGCACAAAGTTACATTTTCAGGAGAAGCTTTTGGGGTGTAGATGCTTCGTCTAAGGTTCAAGCAGTACTGCCTGGGCCTTAGGACAGAACGGGTACACCATGAAAGTGTCCTGAAAATTGAATCGGAAGATGTAGGAATTGAAGTGCTTAAATGAAGCACGCCAACTAAAATGGTCCAGATACAACTTTATTCCATCAAAGTCAGGGGACAATCAAGTAGCGTGGCCTATTGTAGGGTAGCTAAGTAGGCATTGGGTTTTGAGCGCTTCTGCCCTCCTTTCTCTGATTGAATCACCCATCTGTCGGACACCCCGGTCCGGATGTTTTCTGAAGCCGCTCAACCAAACAAGTACACTTAGCACCAATTTCAAAACCTAATAGACACTGCCCCCTCCCCCCCACGGACGAGCGCTGTATTCAGGTACGTTGTCCTTGAAACTTTCCATACTCTACTTGAATGTCCTCTGACCCTACTGGAATAAAGTTGTATCTGGGCCATTCTCATTGGTGTTGCACTTCAATTCTTACATCTGCTGTGTTCACTGTCAAGTCAAGAATACTGAGGAGACCCTTTGGATTGCGGAAGCTGCCCACCAGTTAGCCAGATCATACATGTTCACATCCCTTAACTACTGTTGAATGAGAAACACCAAAAGAATAACCACACGGTTCCAGCACTTTCTTTTCACACTTCAAAATATCTGAACATTTAACTAAGTGCAAATAAAATAAAAAAAGTATCATGGACAGTACTCAACTGTGTTGCAAGTGCACTATACAGCCACAATCACCTTAAGAATAGTTCAATTAAAGGGTTATTTTTTATAATATTCCCCTTGGAGGGCAGCTCTGGATGCAATACTCACCTGGAATCCAGAGCTGCCTGAGCAGTATACCGCTTTTTCACCTCTAGATGTCCTTAGTCTTCCAGGTTGAATGGTGCCCAGTGTCACTTAATATGGAAGATTAAGGAAACACTGAGTGCAGGGCATCATGGCCCAATCCCGGAGTATGCCAATCTGCACTTACAGTGTATTAATATCAAGAGCTGTTCAGGGAGCATAAGCACCATTGATGAGAGCACTGGGCAGGGGGCATGTCAGACTGCTGGAGACCTGGACCGCTGCATGCTGTGTTGAGCAGCAGTCCGGCTTTCTAGCCTGCTGCTAGCACTGGGAATTTTAACCATTGCTGCAGCATATGGTACTATTCAAATTAAGGATTAAAAGGGAGTACACAATTATTACTCTTTATTCAGCCTGGCTGCAATACAGTAATAATATAGGAAGTTTCAACTTAGCGGTAAAATGTCTTTGTACCAGCTACTGAGGATTTAGTTCCTACATCAGTGCTTGGGGTCAGCATTACCCAGCGTCCGCTTACTCTTGGGTTGGCCAAGCAATGACCTTTTCTATCGCTCTTTTCTTCTTAAAATATATTTACAATGAAAGGACTGAAAATCAACCCACTACCCTTCTGCCAAGGGCCTTCCATTTAATCTTTCTTCTTCTGGAATTAAGTGAAATATCACGTAACAAACAAAAACCCCTCATACTCATTTTCCGTTCCCAATTAAAGAAATGCCCAAGACATGAAGGCGACGCTGGAATTCAAGCGTTGAATGAGCTGAGCGGAGCACAAAATGCCTTTATCTGAAATTATAACTCTGTGTCCCTTAATACAGGTGCTTTGGTAAGATCACTTACCAGAACGTTTTAAACCTCGCGGAGGAATAAAAGAAATATTGAGCTCTATACGAGGGCCAGGGGGTAAAGGTGCCCCCCCTTCTATTCATTACAGTAAACTCAAGGTAGCAACATGACCAGAGATACATAAACCACTTCAAATGTCTTTGCATTGAAACTAAACTATATAGTACTTCCTTTGTACAACTGTAATTGTGAACAAAACGTGATGTGAAAGATAAGACTAAGTGAAAGGCAATTGCCTTCATTTTTTCCCTAAATCTTTTCGAGGATATTGCTAAACAAATATTGTCCAAATACAAGAGGCATGAGCAGTCTTACTTAAATATTAGAGATCTTTGTGTATTTATTATATTTATTCTTTATAGTATTTATATAGCGCCGACAATTTACACAGCGCTTTACATAGTGCACATTGACATCAGTCCCTGCCCTCAAGGAGCTTACAATCTAAAGGCCCACATCTCAAATGCATACATACAGGTCGATTCAGATACGAGCCAATTAACCTACCAGTATGTCTTTGGGGTGTGGGAGTAAAACCAGAGTCATTCAGGGTGTCAGAGCCATTCAGGGTGACAGCGTGTCAGAGCCATTCAGGGTGACAGCGTGTCAAGCTGAATTGCAGCTACTGACACTTTTAATAACCATCAATGGATTCCCGGAAGGATGAGATTACTCCATTGATAAAGTAGGAAAGCCCTTTAGTATTATTTTTACCTCTTCTCCGGGTGGGAAGTTTTCATGGCACAAAGGACATCGGTTTGCCATTTTTTCTCCTTTTGCAGCTTTGGAAAAAGAAAAGAAAAACTAAGCATGCAGACAATTGCAGTTCATGTGAAAACAGAAAAATGTATTCATGAAACCATTAGATTTGTTACAGAGCAGACACATCACCAAACCTATTCCCAAATTAAAGCAAACCACCTAGCAGTGTTGTCAATTCAAAATGAGCATACAGATAATAAAATGAAGAAATGCTGAACTCAAGGCTGTCTATTCAAATTCTAATGGTGGACATCCGTCTCCTCTGTTGTACTAATCAGTGAAGTTATAGAATATCCTGTGATATTGATTTCCTCTATACTTGATATGTCACCTTAACAATGAGCGAATTAAAAAAATAATTAAATAAACAGAATCTAAACTTGATTTTAGTTCTTTGTAATTCCAAGTACAGCAGAAATTAAAGGATGGAGGAGCATTTTTTGGGGCCCATAATTTGTGCTACATGCACACATTGAGAAGGAATAAATTGACAGGAGGAGGGAGCAGAGAGATTAGTTCATCAGTCTGTTGCTGCTCCTTCAATGTTCATAAATGATGAATAATAAATGATGAAGAAAAAAAACGTGCTAGCAAATATATGTTAGTCTTTTACACAGCAGAGCTGAAGAAAAGATGTCAATCCTCCTCCTAGGACACTACCAAACAACTAAGACATGCTGGTAGTTGGAGAGGTTATGCTGGGCTGGCCTACGGGTTTTTTTGCCAGTGTGCAATCCTCCTGTAGACAGCAGTATAACCAAAGCTGAAAGACTTCCTGCATCTCTCAATGGATGAGAAACAAAATGTTCCACTTTAAGACATCCCATCACTCTTCACAAATTGGGTTTCCAAAAACCAACAAACGTTGGCCTCCAAAACCCAGAGAGCAATGCAGCTGGTGGAGGTCGATTGCGTAAGTGGACGCACCTATTCCTCTGTGAGTTCAGTCACTGTATAGTTGGAAGGACTTGGAACAATGTTCATTTGACTGCAGCGACATGAGGAAACTCTTAAAGGCTGTATGAGACACGCCTGTGATCATTGTATGGCTGGTGGAAGGGTGCCAGGGTGTGGGGGCATGCTCTCCTGCCAGTTGAAGGCACACTTCTAACTACTGGCTTTATTCAGAACTTGTTGTTTTTACGACTCTCAGTGTGGACAAAATGATTCATTAAATGGCCCCAGAGATGGGGGAACAAGCCGACCTGCCATGTAGAATTAAACCAACATGACTGGCACTGAGAGCTGCTGAACTGTGGTGGCAGCTTTATCCAGGTCATCATGAAGACACTGGGCCTAATGTGTCAACCCTGGATAAAGAGGTAAGCGTCTGAGTCACAAATAGTCAAATTCCACTTCTCTATGGTAGATTTACAAAGTGAAACTTTAAACCTGATTGGCTCTTAAGGCAGTACCTCAAATTACATTTCATCAACTCCAGTCTGAGGCGTCTGACAGATGTTAGATTACAATTACATTGTCGATTTTACAGCCAGACCATATAAATCTAGCACTCTCAAACTTTCTTTTTTTTTTTACCTCCTCGCCAGTCCTCGCATACTGATGACATTTAGGTCTCACAGACTGAAATGCATTATCAGTAACAAGGGAACCTCCAAATAAAGAACCCAGATCTATAATAGAAGGAGGTTTACAAAAGAACTTTGCAAACCGAGTTTAGGGGTTAATCAGCAGTGTATTTTTGGAGCCAATGTTGAGTTACATTGTATGACATCACTGCTTTGAGATATAGGAGAAAGAAAGAAAAACAAAAAGGAAAAAAAGGAAAGGAAAAAAGGAAAAAAAAAAAAAGGAAAGGAAAGGAAAAAGAAAGAAAAGAAATCTCTTTGAATGACCCCCAAAATTTGTTGCACTGCATGTCATGTAATTGTAGCAAGAGATACTTGAGATGTTGGGTTGTCAATAGATGGATAGACAGAGATTTCCATGACCAATGAAACAAATATACAAATGTCTCTTATGCTGTATATAGGTATAAGACATGTAGAATTAAACCATCTCATAATGAGAATCTAACAAAGTGATCAACTAAATACCCACCATAAAATAGGTAAAGCCAAACTAATTCCCATAAAGGAATAGAAGACCCACAACATGATGATGTCAACAGAAAAAGGGGACATGAACAGATCCAAAGAGGAGGCCTGGGAACAATGGGTCCCGATGATAAGGAGCAGCAGGTCAACAAGAAAGAGGGCCAATCCTTTTGCACCCTGACCTTCTAGGATGAAACTGACAAGAACTTTGTGCTGAAGGAGGTTACCTGACCAGACAACCAATCTTGCAACCTGTAGCAGTAAATGCACTACAGTCCACAAGGGGTGTAAACTGCCTCTTGAGACCCCCAGAGAACCAAGGGGTTTGATCCCACAAAGTCAAAGTGACTGAGTGGATAGGGTGCATTAAAGCTCCTCTGTAAAGGTAGGCAGGAATGAAATTGGGGCCTTATCCCCAGACTAGTGAGACAAAATTAACCAGAACAAAATTAGGGTAAAGCTGAACAACCTCCCGAGCACACAAGAGTGCCCCAGGAACTGAAGAAGAATCTTGATGAAGAACCACCCTGCCTATCCCTGACTGCAGGCTATAGATTTAAGAAAGCTCCTCATTCCTTACAATCAGATGCAGAATCATTTGCCATGAAGCAAAGGACTGTTCACCAGATTAGGAACACAACAAAGGAAGGCATTCAAAGAACCCTCCTCCAGAGGTTGCAGGTCCTTCAAGCCAGGGGGACCTAATCCTGAGTGGACAGGTTCCTCAAAGTTAAGACATACTCTGTCCCCTGCAGAAGATTCCGGCAGCAGAAGACTAGTTTGTTCCAAATGTTGGCAATCCAGGGAGGCCCAGGGTCCTCCAGTGATGATCTCTGCCTGCCACACAGAATCCGAGACCCACCTAGATGAGTGAACCTCTCCTCTCGGTCTAGGGACTACTGGATGAGAAGAATCAGTTCCCAAGACAATACCCTTGATGGAAACAGTGCAATGAAGATGGAGACCCTCTGCGTTACCCAGCACAGGGACCAGACTACCTTCCTTGCTGCAGGAAGGACTCCCACTCCTTCTTGCTGGTGAAGGTATGGCAGCAGCTAAATAGTGTCCAACAGAGTCTGGACCAGGGAACCTGCCCCCCCCCCGACGTGGAAGAAACTACCAGTTCTGAAGAGCCAGACATTAGTCCTGGCAATGGTGGTTCTCCAATGAGTGAGCCTGCGATTGGAGTTGAGGGGCCAGGTGAACTGTAAGACTTTGCACATCTTTAATTTCAACTAAAAAAATCTGTTGGGCTTTAATGATACACATTAACTGTTGACGGCAGTCATTTTATTCTGTAACCAATCTGGTACTTACGGTTGCACATCTTGGATTTGACATGCTCCAGCAGATGATCCTTAGATATGGCCTCTGAGCAACGTTGGCATTTTCCGAACGAGTCCTTGTGACTGCACTCGGTAAGAAGGTGAGATGTAAGACTGGCAATTTCTACCACCTGGGCGGAAAAAAAAAAAAATATAGACGGATTACTAATAATAATAAGAAATGTTCCCAATATCCAGTCAAACATTGGTTCCAAAAATTCTAATTAAAGATTGCGGCTGAAGGACACAGGGCTGTGTCTGAGAGATGGTGGTGGGTAACCACAATGGGTCTTTGGTTGGTAATGCTGCTTTGAATGATGAGTGGGGTTGAATAATGTCCAGTGTCATTTAACCCGCTTCCACAAATTCAGCCAGCCCTATGCCCTGCACTAACAGGAGAATGCTGTAGAGAGCAATGCCAAATCATTACATGACAGTGCTCTCGGCAGCATTCAGGACCTATCTACTTCTGGATGAAGAAGAGGGTGAAGAAGACCTGTGATATCACT